ATTACAGACACGCCTTGCAGAAGCTAAATTTCGTAACAAACTGCGTCTTTGCGAAGAGCACAGCTCACCACTTGGCCGCGTGTCACAGACTCTGGCCCATCAGCTACAGCTGAGACCATGGACAAACCTCCCAGTCTGGGTCCCTTTCTGGTGCTCAGCGATAGCACCTTGCAGCACATGCTGCGGGGACACACTTACGGAGTGTTCCCGCTGCTGACGGGACAGGTCTTAAGCTGTCCAGGCGCCGCCCTCAACATCTCTGCCGGCAGCGTCCCCTCCATCTTGGAGCTCCTCCACTGGCAATTTGGGCTCTTTGGGCCGCACAAATTCACAGCGGCAGTGCAGAGTCCGCCGGTGGCCTCCATCTTGGAGAACCACCTCGACGGACAAATCAACGTTCGCTTCATTCCGCTGTCCCGAAGCCTGCGCCCGGAGAAGCAAATCAATTATGACTACCTGATCGATGGCAGGGTCCAATATGGTTTTGCGGACAAGAACCTGCACAACCAGGAAATCATGGACCTGGCCCAGATGCCTGGTGTAGGAGGGGTAGAATGGCTCTACAACTCCAAGAACCTCCATTTCCGCCCCGACGTCGCGGACATTGTCATCCCGGCGCTTGTAACCAGAGCCATCGAGGAAATGCGCAACACCCCAGGACTGCCTGTCCTCGTGGTAGCTGGTTGGAACGCTCGCGAGCAGGACATGCATGTCGAAATGCTCGCTGCCCAGGCTCTGTCACAATGCCGAACTGTCCGTGATCTTTCGGAGGTAGCCATGCAATACGGACATGGCCCCTGGGGAATGCGCTTCACACATCTCCCAGAATGGGAAGCCGCCCCTGTCCCGGCCCTCCTCTTCCAGACCTACGTTCACGACGAAAAGCCGGAACCGGCCCAAGTTGCGGCCAAAATGTTTGCTGGCTTCACCCGCAGATTCTGTGATGATGATGTTCTTCGGGCTACCCTGCGGCAACTCGCAGGAAAGTACGGCTCCAATCTGCTAGATCGCCTCAGCCAACCTGCTCATCGAGCAGACGTGTTCCGCTACGTCTACCACTACCAGCACGGCGGCCTCTACGTCGACATCAAATGTGGCTTCGTGGTACCTTGGGAACAGGTACTCGTGTATCTCGCAGCAGATTGGAGCACAGCTCACTCAAAGAAGGCAGGTGAAGTGGGTCACAGACCCTCCCCACCTGGCCAACTCCCACAGGAGTTCATGGTCATGGCCATAGGAGTCAAAGGAGATCATATTTTTCAAGGCATCATCTATGGCAAGCCCAGACACCCCTTGATGAGGGAAGCCATACAGCACGCCTTCAGCCGTCAGGTTATGACAGCGAAGGCAAACTTGGAATACATGACCTTCTGCAAATTTCTTTGGCAGATCTTGGGTCGTGACCTTGGTCACTCCCCTCAGCCGGGATGGAATGTTTCCACCAAATTTGGCCCCATCTACCTGTTCTCGGAGCGCTGGGACAAGCGAGTGAAGAACAAGAAGTACGACAATGATGGCCACTATTTCGTGACTACCAACAACACGACCGTTGCATATACCCGGTGCTGGAAGTGGCTGAAGGGATTTCAGGGAGACCCAACCACCAAGAACGCACAGACCGCATGCTGCAGAGCCAACTCCCTGACATCTCCCTTGAAATCCAGTCTGACAGACCTGAAGAGCACAGCTCACCACAGCCACCTAGGTCACAGACCATGGCAACCGCCTCATCGGCTCCCCCTCCTCCCACTCAGGAGGATATTGAAGCCTATGTGGCCGACAGCATCCAGCACAACTCCTTTGCAGAGATCATGGCTACGGTCCGTGAAACCCACCACTACAACCAAGACCTTACAGAGCAGGATGTGCTGGAGCTTATCCCTCGAGGATTAGGGCAAGTGAAAGTTTCGGGGGACATGTGGTTATGCTGCTTGCACTGCCGGAAGCACAACAGGCAGGTGCAATTCAGCACTAGCCACGGCCTTAAAAACCACTTTGTCACTCAGAAGCACAACCCGGCACTCAGTGCCACGCCGGACCCCCACACTCCTCCCCCTCCTCCTCCCCCCAAGCTCCCACAGGAAATTCCTCTTCCCCCCAGCAGTACCAGGACCAAAGGTATAGACAAAGCAGCCGGCTTCGAGCCGCCACCCTCCCCCCCGTGCCCTTTCACTTCCTCAGCAGCTGAAAAGGCGGCTTTCAAAGCAGGCCAAGCAGAGACACCGAAGGCGGCCCCGGCGCTTCCGGTTAAGGCCCCACCGCCCATGGTGGCCACCCAATGCCCCCCGCCCTCTTCATCCTCGGCAGCACCAGCTCCCCCTCCGGCGATTCCAGTTTCCCCGATCCTTCCGCACCCCCCCAAGTCCGTCTCTCCCCCAACCCCCGCCACCCAGGCCGCTCCGCGCTCCCACACGCCCCCTCCTCCTTCTTCCCGTCCCCCGTCAGCATATGAGCCTCCGGAATCCAATGCGGAACTCGTCGGCTATGTCCCACAGCCGGCTCCACGGCTGACAGTACGTTACACGCGGCAGGAGCTGGCTCAGCTGCTGAGCTCCCAGTCCCATCAGGACTGGATTCGGGCCTTGGCTTCCATCAACATCCTGGTGGCTCCGGTCATTCTTGGCGGCCTCACCAACCAGGAACAACAGACCCTTTGGTCTACCAGGATGGAAGCACTCCGAGAAGTTCCGCCGCTGTTCTCTGCCATCAAGTCCGTAAGGACGCAAACCGGCCTCACATGGGACACCGCCATGTCGGTGAGGCGGGTCCTCACAAGCGATGGGAAGGTCACCATCGCCACAGGCGCGGGTGACGCCTACCGTGAGCTGGACGCACCAACAAAAGTGCATGGCCTTATCCATGCCTGCTTTAACAAGATGTGGGACGAAAAGGCTTTTCGGCAGCACTTCCCCTCGTGGGTCGAGTTCAATATGATCGCCACCACCATAGTGGCAGTCTACAATGAGACGGCCAAATCAGCCGGACTCCCAGCTCGTGTTTTCCGGGTCAAACCCGACAAAAATGCCTACTCCATCATGAAGATGCGGATACAGCATGACAAGGGGAACGAAGAGGACAAGCGCATGGCCAAACTGGCTGCTGCTGCCCCCAACAAGCGCCCACAGATGCAGGAGGCTGACACAGAGGGCAAGCGGCAGCGCGATGGCCCCTCCTCATCTTCCTCGTCCCAGTGGGCCAGACAGGCACGCTCATCTCAGGATGACGACTGGGACTGGTGGCAGCAGTGGTCCTGGCATGGTTACTCTCAGCAGTGGCCAAAAGGTCATGACCAGTGAGGGCGGTAATATGTCACAGACTCTATGATCCCTTATGTCACAGACTCAGGGAATTCGGCACTCTTCCGACGCCTAGCACATCTCTTCGGAAGACTGTGAACCGCGTGCTAGCCTCGCTTAAAACAGCACTTTGCGCTTCAGCGAGTTGCCCACATCCAAGCTGCCCAAAGTCTCACGCCACCGGAGTTGCTTCAGGTACCAGCGGTCATCCGCACATGACCCTTACGGCCTTCTGTCTTCAACATGAGTAATCCGTGTGGGACGCCACGAGACGGATACTCCAGGTGGCGGCTTCGTCTGAGGTACGGCCTAATTGTGAGACAGGTGCACAGATGGACGCGTCTGTTCACACCAAGGTGTCGGAGAAGGAAGCTTTTTGTAGCAGTAGCAGTTGCAGTAGTATGTCAAGTTCGAGCTGATTAGAGAGACCTGAGCGATGCATGCTAGAAGCAGTTTCACGAGTGCACGAGACCAAAGGCGCCCGCAAAGCGCAGAGCACGCTCGCGCAGCGTTCAGTAGTAGTAGTAGTATAGTCGAATAGTAGTAGTAGTAGTAGTAGTAGTAGTAGTAGTAGTAGTAGTAGTAGTAGTAGTAGTAGTAGTAGTAGTAGTAGTAGTAGTAGTAGTAGTAGTAGTAGTAGTAGTAGTAGTTAGTAGTAGTAGTAGTAGTAGTAGTAGTAGTAGTAGTAGTAGTAGTAGTAGTAGTAGTAGTAGTAGTAGTAGTAGTAGTAGTAGTAGTAGTAGTAGTAGTAGTAGTAGTAGTAGTAGTAGTATAGTAGTAGTAGTAGTAGTAGTAGTAGTAGTAGTAGTAGTAGTAGTCGTAGTAGTAGTAGTAGTAGTAGTAGTCGTAGTAGTAGTAGTAGTAGTAGTAGTAGTAGTAGTAGTAGTAGTAGTAGTGCTAGTGGTGGTAGTGGTAGTGGTAGTGGATGCAATCGCCCGCAATGCGCTGAGCCCGGTCGCACAGCGTTCAATTGAAATAGTGGTAGTGGTAGTGGTGGTAGTAGTAGTTGTAGTAGTCGGAGTAGGAGTAGGAGTGGGAGTGGGAGTGGGGGTAGGAGTAGGAGTAGGAGCAGGAGTAGGAGTAGGAGTGGGAGTAGTAGTAGGAGTAGGAGCAGGAGTAGGAGGAGTACGAGCGGTAAGAGTAGGGGTGGCAGTGGCAGTGGCAGTAGCAAGTAGCAGGTAGCTGTTAGCAGCAAAAGCAGTAGCAGCAACAGTAGCAGTAGCGGGAGCACTAGCATTTGCAGTAGCAGTGGCATAGTGGTAGCAGCAGCAGCAGCAGCAGCAGCAGCAGCAGCAGCACTAGGAGTGGTGGTAGTGGTGGCAGTAGTCGCAGTCGTGGTAGTGTTTGTATAGGGTTGCAAGTACTAGTAGGAGTGGGAGCAGGAGGAGTAGGCGCAGGAGTCGGATTGGGAGTAGGCGTAGGCCAGCAGGCATTAAACGTCATTGTTTCGGGTATCAGTGCCAAAGCCACTACCAGTATCCATTAGAGTTCTTTCAGTTGCTTGGTTCAAAGGGGAAAAGGAGGGACCCTTACTGGGGACCCCTACCCTATAGTGGGGCTAGAAAACGGGTATATAACAGCTATATTAAGGGTATATACCTAGGGGTCCTCATTAAGGGTCCCTCCTTTTCCCCTTTGATTGGTAGTGAGCCAAGTTTTCGGGTCAGAGTTCGTATCCAGGACGACGATAGAGATGCCGGGAACATGTATTGCAATCACTGGTGCTTCAACGACTTCTACCTGGAGCCGTCTCCTGGAGGGGCTTTGGCTGAGACAAGCGATCGACTCTCTAAATGCTTTTCCAATTATTGCCAGCCGATGAAGATGAAATGCGCAAAGCCGTTTGGCGAATTCCCCAATTCCTGCATTGGTGAGCTGACGTCTCTCGGATTGACGTTGTTCAATTTTTTTCTGCCAGTTTTGATTGCAAGCCCATAGAAGTAGTGAGGACGTGGTAGGCCAGGAAGAGAAGAGTGGGTGCCGGCGAGGCAAGCCCAGTCGCATCAAACGAAGACAGCCGAAGCATGCTTAAGGAAGACATGGCTGCATCGTGCTTGATGTTGCGTAAGTGCCAAAACATGGCCACAATCATTCAGCGATTTCTTGCGTGTCTTCAGCTTTGCTTCTTTTCTGGGTTGGGCTAGCTGGGCTAGGCCTGGTAGAACAGCAATCCGCAGTTTGCAACTCGGAGTAACCTGTGCAAATGCTGGACGCTGCAAATTTGCTCGCCAATGGCTTGCCGGTTGTCAAGATGCTGCAAATAGGAATTCACAAGCACAGTGCCGAAAGGAGGACACTCGCCTATCACAAACAGCGCCCTGCGAGTTGGCAATGCCAAGATCCGTGCCACCCCTTCAAAAGGACAACACAAAGCGAACACGCACACAAAGAATCCACGCGCCACCCTTTCAGAAGGCATTCTGCAGCTGAGTTCTTGTACTAATGTGGTGCAGCCACCTTGCGACCAGGTAGTCTCAATCAGCGTTTACTTTATTCCCAAGTGACTCAATAATTCAAGTTCTTTTGCCGATATTTGCAGTAGCGCAAGGACGGAAGCTGAGAGGTTAAATCTGAAGCCCTCAGGCTTAAACTTCTGGGCACCATGCCAAATTTTAGGGTTTAGGGTTGAGTGTCGAGATTCTTGTGTCTAGGGTTGGGGGTGAAGGGCTATATGAGGGTCCTGGGGTTCGGTGTCTAGGGTCTGTCGAGCATATGCTGACCTCAGGAAACCTCGGCACTTCATTGCACCGACAAGGTTCCGCGAGAAAGCATACTGCTTTACAGGCCCCAACATGCTCTCACAGCCTGAGCCCTTGAAAATCCGCAACCCCCCATTGAAAATCCGCAACCCCCCAAAACCCACTCTAACTCTTAATCCCCCTATTTCATACCACCCTTGTATTAAAGTATCCCTTTCTGTAGCCTGTATAGCCTCCAAAAAGTCCAAGCCCAGGTTCGGTCACAACAAGTACATGGCTATCTATGCCTTTCGGACCGAGGCAGGCCCTGGCATGTCGCAGGCGGGCCATGCACCCGAAACTCCCACAAAATCCGTGTTTTTTTGTTGTTCTATGGTATGATGCGGGAGTTTCCGAAAATTAGGGGTGCCTTATTTTGGAGTCCTTATGATAAGGATCCTACTATTTAGGGTACCATGTTAGGGTCCCCGATTTTCGGAAACTCCCATGTGGATTCTGGGGTTTCATGCTTCAGTCCCCCAAGATTTTTCCAAGCCCGCTTGGTTCCAAGCTGCTTGGCCATGGGTTTCGGTTCAAGAGTTTCGGAGCCTACGAACCCCAGCTCTTGTTTCGCCCGACCTGTGTCGGGAATCATGGCTCAGGTGGTTATCGAGAGCAGGATCAGTGGGTATTCGCACCTCTGCTACGGTTTAGTCAACCCTGCGCCAAGCAACCATCTCACGACTCAAGCAGAGGTAGGATCGAAATGGTATCGGTAGCTTAGGTGGTCTTTTGGGTGAAGCGTGAATGGCCTGATGATAGGCTTTAGAATACCGGCACGTGAAAGCAGTCGAAGTTGTAATTCGGCAGCTGGGACGGTTACGGTCGCGGCTGCAGCAGTGGCACTTGTAACGGTAGCAGCGGCGGTTTGGCTCGTCATTGTAGTTGCTGTCGTTGCTGACTTATTGTGGGTGGTTGTTGCGGCTGTTCTGATTTCATAAAGGTGATAGTCTTTCAATTAGTAGTCGGGGTAGTAGGCCTGCAGTAAAGTGGTTTCTAGTACCAGCGCCAGTACCAGTGCCAGTACCAGTGCCAGTACCAGCAGCAGCAGCAGTAGCAGTGGCAGTGGCAGTGGCACTAGCAGTAGCAGTGGCAGGCGCAGGAGAAGCAGCAGTCGCCGTTGCAGTAGAAGAAGAAGTAGTAGCAGTAGTAGTCGGAGTAGGAGTAGGAGTAGTTGTTGTAGTACTCAAAGACAAAGATGAAGTGCAGGAGGAGGAGGAGGAGGAGTCGTAGTAGTAGTGGTGAGGAGGAGGAGGAGGAGGAGGAGGAGGAGGAGGAATGGGAGTAGGAGTAGAGTACGAGTGCGATTACGAGTGCGAGTACAAGTAGGAGCAGGATCAGGATCAGTAGTCAGTAGCAAGATTAGCAGTACTTGTAGGGAGTGGAGGTACTGTGTTTTTTTTGTCGTTGCTGCTATGGCTTGCTCATCGTTGCCGGCAGCCGGGATAGCCGTCGCCGTGGCTATC